GGCCAGTCCGGCCAAGACCACGACAATCCTCAACAGCAGGAATGAGCAAACTAGATTTTGACTCGCATTCCAGCAACCTTATCTCAGCTTCAAGGAAGTGCACAAGGAAGGACAGATTTCAGAAATCTTTTTGCAGAATTAATTGTGTGGAATGAGGTTTACCGGGAGAATCCCTTCAACACTTCAAAGGTACTTGACAGCATTCCCCAGGTCTCAGCATTGTTTGCTGCTAATCCAACACCTCTGTACCTGTGGTGAACTCTTAAGACAACCAACAGGAACAGGCTCATCCATCTGGAACGTCATCCTGCCGCTGGACATTCTCACACCTTTTCATAAGACCAGGATCCCTCCAACCACTAAGCGTCAAGGCTTTGCGACAGAGAAAGGAGCAATAAGTCCACATGCCCTCTAACACCTTACTTTGTTGGCATGTGTTAAGACAGAGGTCTTTGCAGCAAGGCCTGGCATCTGGAGAGCAATTCAGCTTCAAGAACTCCACTCGGAGATCAAGTCAGAGAGAAAGCTCTCCGGCCATTTGCACAGCTTTGTGTCTATAGCATGAATAAGCAGCATTTCTTCCAAGGCTCACTACTCGCCACATGACAACGTACACTAGGGAGGGCGTTGGGTGGGTAAAAAAGCTTTTGAAGTACTATCTGAAGCACCCCAAGAAAGCATAGAGGTGCCCAGCATGCTGGAGCAGGGCCTGTTGGAACTGACCTAATGATATTGAAACACTGATTAAAAGACAGAAATAGGCAGTAGATCTGGAAGTGGTCAAAAAAAGATGCCCTCCCAGGTCTCTGCCTGTTGCCCAAATGCTGCAGGAGGGTGTTGGAACACCTACGGCGAAGTCCTGGACACCTCCACAAGCAGTTATGGCCAGCTGGAGAGGCAAGCTGCAGGCACAGCAGGTGACTCTCCAAAGGGACAGCCAGGGAACAGGCCCTGGATGTGCTTGAGAGTCAACTAGATAAGGCCCTCAACAACAGTCTTAAGTAAGCTCTGCTGCGAGCAGGAGGTCAGTGGGACTAGAGACCACCAGAGGTCCCTTCCGACCCAAATCTGTCTGTGGTTCTGTGAATAAACCTTTCTACACGGGGAAGAGAGAGAAGACAAGAGGGCAGAGCCTCGGGGAGGATATATCTTTATGGGCAAAACATCCAATTTTCCTTAAGAGACCTTGCAGAGCTAAAATACTGGAAGCACAAGGTGAGCTGTCTCGTCGGCCTCACCCACGGTCCCAGATCCCTCTGCATGGTGCCTGCCCACCTGAAAACCCATCTCAGCCCTGGGATGCTTCACCTCAAGTGCTAGCGTGTTGGCCAGTCCAACTGGATAACGCGTGTTGAAGAGACCAACGTCTCACTGGTGACCGACCCCCTCCTCTCCACGCTGCCCAGGGCTGAGCCAGCAGAGCAGCTGCCCGGCAAAGCGGCCAGAGGACCCCACCAGAGCCCAGGGCGAGCACCACTGGTGAAGATGGTCTCAAGCACTGCCCCTTCCCGGCCTGTGCCGCCGGCGGAGGAAGGTGTTAACGCTTAACGATGCTCTACCAAGATTAAAACACAGCTCCAGCAAAATCCTGTGCACTGCCACGGCCGCAGCCGTACTCCCCTCCGACTGCTTTCACCACAACCCCTCTGTGCTAGAGACCCGTGCCCACCGGGGTCACCCCCCCCCAGCACGGCTGACCCCAAAACACCTGTAAAAGAAATATCACGAGGGGCTTTTGCTCCCCAGGGGAGGCCAGGGGCTCAGCCTCAGCACCTTGCTGGAGGAACATGGTGGGACTTCACCACCACCTTGCCAGGCGCGGGCGGTGGGAGAGGTGTAGGGGGGAGAGGTGGAGGCTGTGAAAGCCCCCGGGCCGGGCCGCCCGCCGCAGGTTGGCCATGACAGGCAGCAGCAGGTCCCACAGGCTGTGGGTGCTCCTTCAGCTGGCACCAGCCACAGAGCCATGCTCTTACCACGGGGGGCTCTGACCCCGGGACAGGCAGCGATGGGGGAGAAAACGCAAATTGGAAGTTTTCTTGGGGAATAAGAGCAGCAGCGAGAGAAAGAGAGAGAGAGAGGGGGGGGGGGGAGTTAGAGCCTGGCAGAGGAGCCAGGGTTGAA